AGCCCCAATTGTTCTGCCAGTTTCCTCCCCCAGGAATCTCATCTTGTGACACCCCCTCCCCCGCCATCCCCTGCTTTTATTTTTTTTCTTCCAGGGCTACTGCCGCTCTCCCTGCCCAGCCAACTGGCTCATTGTTAACGAGCGCGTCCAGCCAGGAAAGTGATTGATCACTAGGGAGAAAGGCCAAAGCCGTGACGGGTCGTTTAACAATTTCAATTAAACTCTGCGGAGCTGAGACGCTGAAGGGGAGGAGAGGGGGAGAAAGGGAAGGAAATTAAAACTTCTAAGACTGCTCCAAACAACCCCAACCGCGGTTGGGCCCACAGGGACCGGCCCACGCCCTCCCTGGAGGTATATGGTTTGAGAAAGGCTTGTCCCACTCTCAGAAGTAGCTACAGCAGTTGGCATTCTCCATGCCCAGGGCTTTACAATATTGTACTGATGTCCCTCAGCCTCATACAGCTGCAGGATTATTGTGCTCTCACCCCCCGGAAAAAAAAATTACGTGCCCCGGGGGCTTTGAAATAATAGGTCCTCTGACCCATTTGTGCACCAACGTTTTCCAAGCCACGCACTGCCTAAGAATATGCACATTGAATATGTAACTGTGTGTCCCTGAAGTTCCCGCTGCCGGGACTGGCGCTTGATTCTTGGTTACGTGCAGCGACTTTTTTTAGGCACAGGAGATCCCCCAGGGCTAATCACAGAGCTGCGGCTCTGAATCCACTGAGACAGCAGAAGGACTCTTGGAGGGATTTTAAAAAAATCAGCATCTTGGTCTGTCATATGGAAAGGCGCTTTAATGAGCAGCAAAAGGCAGCGAACGTTCTGCTCGCCCGGCATCTCAACCACGAGAGAGAGAGAGAGAATCGTAAGGGGCTGGGAGTAAAAGGCTCCTCAGGTGGAAGGACAGAGCCCCATGCAGCAGGGAAAACTTCAGACCTATCCCGCCACCATGTAAGAGACTGAGCCCATGTCTGGTGGGGGCTCAGTCCCTAGGGGCAGCAAGGAGGGGACAAAGCCAGAGTAGGGCAACAGAGAACACCCCCCGACTGCATTTGATTGAGAGTCATTGGGTGATTAAAACCCTAGAAGGGAGGCCAGCCTCATTCTCTCCCCTCCTAGCCCATTGCACGATACACCTCCTCAGGCTTCTGCCAAGCCAAGCACACCAGCTGTGCCAGTTCCTGCTTTACATTATTTAATCTGAAGATAGATTAGAAATTAATTCCTGACTCTCAGCCCTTCCTTAACAATGCTCTCCCTTTGTAGGCATCACTAGCTCTCTCTGAAAGGTAGAGCCTTATTCCCTCCCGAGAGCTGACCCCGTGACCCTCCACCAAGCCTGCCTCATTCAGGTTGCCCTATGACACTTGACCTTGCAAGAAGCAGGTGAGCAGACCTGTCCGGGATGTTCTCAATGGGGCCGGGTTAGTTCCTTGTTCTGACTAGAAAACGGTTTCCAAATCTGCCTTGGGTGCCGGGTGCGTTTTGTTTCCTTAACCCCAGCGCTGTGGATTTTAAAACTTTAACCTCCCCACCTCCTCCTCCCTCGGAGCTTTGCAGTGTCTGACCCAGCAGAGTTTATCCCAGCCTTGTTTTTATAATCCCCAGCCTCACTAACTTAGATTCCCCGGCACTGAACACACAGCCCTGAGCTGCTCTTAGTCTCTCCAAGTCAGCCTCAATTATTCCCCCTTCCCCCTCCCCACACACATACTTTTCTCCTGCGATGAAGCTTTTCAACATGAATTCTTTTGCATTCATGAGAGGAGCGACCGACCGACCCAGCAACGAGATGCCTGTATCCATAGCACAAGCACATCACAGGCCACAGGAGGGAAACTTCCCGTATGCTGCACCCCAGCCCTTCCAGGGTGAAAGGTTTGCTGGCTCACTGTGGCCCATTCAGTCCTTAGCTCCTCTGCCAAGAGTTCCATTAAACGTGGTCGGTTTTGATGATGTGATCATCTGTCTCTGGGGGACTGGACCAGGACCTGTTCTGTCTACATTAACTCCCCCCGTCCCCCCATGCTTTGGGCCCAGAGTCCATCCAAAATCCACCCCCCTTCTGGTTGGTTTAAGGCTTTTAACATTAGCCTTAAAGAGCATTTTAGCGGGATGCCTTTGTGGACTACAATTCTCTGCCCTCGCCTGCCCACGAACCCAGACCACGAGAGTCCGAGGGGGACCCATAAAGCAAATTCAGAACTTCCCCTGCAGACACACTCAACTCCCAATTGTTTCCCAGTGGCTCAGTTTCCTCACATGCTTAGATTCCCCAGTTTTACTCCTTCAGCCTAAAGGCTTCTTACCCACTCAGCTGATTAGTCCGGTTCATTCGCCTTTCCTCCAACTCCCTTCTGCCGTCTTCTGCTGAGGCCCCACATTCTGATGAGCTGTTCCTATAGCTCAGTCTTCCTTCTCCTCAGCCAGCACTCTGGGGCACCTAGAGGCTCTGGGTATCCCCCGTCTCGCACAGCCCAGCTACTCTGGGAAGGAGGAGCTGAACCGGACACCCCACCCTCTGGAGAAGTTCAGATCTTAACCTTTGTCCCCAGAACCCCCACTGTAGGGTAGGATTCACATCCTCCCACTGACTCCTGTTTCATTCCTAATACCATCCTACTTGGGGGTTTCTGGGCCCAGGCTGCTGTCAAGGTCTATTGACACCCTGGTTTTTTGTTTACTTCTCTACATCCTCAAACCTCAGGAACTCCCAGTCTCCCTCCTCCCCATAGGTCACTGGGGCCAATATCTTCCAGGGGTTTCTTCCCTGCTCCTAACCAGGACCTTTCCCACGGTAGGGTTGCCAGGTGTCTGGTACAGTACCGGACCGTCCGGTACTTGCGCACTCTGTCCGGTAAAAAAAACCAAAAATACTGGACACATGCAATGTCCGGTATTTTCTGATTTTTCTGGCTGCGCACCGGATGGAAGCCTGGCGTGGATGGGGGAGTGGCTGGGAGTCCCAGCAGGGAAGTGGGGCTGCGATTGCAGCCGGGAGTCCTCAATTGGTTGAGTGTGAAGAGGAGGGGAAGCCTCCTCCTCACTCGTGCGTCACCAGGAGCCTGCGCGGGACAGGCAGCAAGTGCCCAGGTCAGTCCCGCTCTCCGCCGGCCAATTTGCTCCCTCCCC